ACGTAAGACGTATGGACATTTTCTAAAATATATTTAATATATTAAGATAAAAATGTTTGTTAGCTAGACCTTTAAAAAATGATGAGGAAAAATATTTCAAAACTATATCATTTCAATAAACTCTAAAAAAAAAAAACTAAAATAACCTATATATTCTTATCCACCTTACCCTTTAGTAAAAATTAAGAAAAAAATGTTGAGTTCCTATGATGATTTGATGATAACAAAACCATTGTAAAAAAGTTTAATGAGTTTGTGTTGAGTTCCTTTGAAAGGTGGTTAAAAATGTACAATTTGCTAATGAAAGAAAAGAGACTTTATGTAAATAAAACATATAACAAAATTACTAAGATTTTTAAGAACAATCTAAATTACCTAGTGACATTTTAAAAGAGTAAAAAAAAAACCACAAAAAATATTTTGTGTAATTTAAACCATATTAAACTACACAAAAATTAACCATCAAATGAAACGTGAACTTTCTAATATGATATAATGGTTGAAATTTAGCAGTTACCGAATAACAAGCAGCAAGTGATTGGTAGCAAATAAAGGATAGTGATAGTTTTTAACAATAAAAGAATTATATTATTATTATTGTTGCTGTTGTTGTTTGTTGTTGTTGTTAAGTTATTATTATTAATCTTATTATGCATTTACAAGTGAAATATCCCTTTGTTATTTTTTTGATAAAAATTAATTTTAAAAATTTAAATATAAAGCACAGATGCACTATGGGAATTTATTTGGTTTGTGGAATTGTATGGAAAATCTGCTTATGTAGAAATTAACAAATTTGGTTAAAATTTTACTTTGGTCCCTTTACTTTAATAAAAAGTCCTTTATTAGTCTCCTTACTTAAGAAAGTTTTTTTGTAGTCTCTAAAGTTTATTATAAAGTTTATTATCTAGTTTCTTTTTTAGTTTTTTCATTATCTTTTTATACACATAACACATTAGATAATGGAAATTTTAAAATAAATGGACTAAAAATGGGCTTTTTTTAAGTAGAGGGACAAAAGGGACTTCTTTTAGTCCTTTTTATTCCTTCTCCTTGGGAATTTTTACCATCTAACACACTACATGTGCAAAAATATAACAAAATGATTAAAAAATGGCTGAATAATAAACTTTAAAAACTAAAAAAAGGTTTTCTTAAGTAAAGAGAGTAAAAATGAACTTTTATTAAAGTAAAAAGAGTCAAAATGAGGTTTTAACCAACAAATTTTGGGGGTATTGCTGCGGATGTTGAGAAGATGTTAAATAAGTTTAGGTGAGGTTTTTTATTGGATTAATGCAAGATCAGAGAGGACTATGTTTTCACTATCTTAATAGTCTTTAAGTCCGAAGGAATGCCCAAGAAAGGTGCTTGAATTAAAACCTAATCTCTTATAAAGGGGGATGCATTTCTAGTTTTGGTGGTTTTGTACTTTGTAAAGTAAAACCGGCGGAAAAAGATTTGCATTGATATTGTATCTGGTAACAACTTACGTATTAAGGGTTGGAGTATTTCATAAAATTATTTTTGGTTGTTGAAAGAAACTTAGGCTGCTTAAAAAAAAAAATTATATATAAGGCAAAAATTACAAACTTCCCAATAAATTAATTTGTTATAATGGTTTGGCAAAATTTTATTAAATTAGAAAATTAATTGTGAATTAAATAAGAAAAAAATTAGAAATAAACAAATTAATGTTAAAAATGAAGCTAACTCCATGTCAAGTAGTAATTGCATTGGATCAATAAAAACAAATTTTTGCAAAAGTATAGGCAAGTACCGATCAACTTAATGAATCATTATAACAAAGCATAAGAAGAAAACTTACCTCGTTAATGGTCTTAGCCTCTTAGGTTTTTTGGACTGTGAAAAGAAGTATAGAATGTTGTGTGCTTAAATTTGTATTTTATACTTAATTATTTTATAGGTAAATTTCTGTAATAATTAAAAGTTTTCAATTCATTTACAATTTGGAGCAAAAAGTTATTTTTAAGAGATTTTTTACTTTATTAACATATTTAACGTTAACTACTAACTACTTTTATCAAATCGTTAAATGAAAAAATTTACTAAATGCCAAATATGTAATCATTTGGGAAGGAATAAAATTACCAAACCCTTAACCATTATACCATATATGTTCTTTTTTTTCTCTCTCTCTCTCTTTCTCCCATCAAATGGTACTCCTTCTGCTATAGTTTTGATTTTTAAGTTTTTAATTTATATATATATAGGTAAGTAACTAACATTATACTTAAATTAAATTTAATAAATTTTAATTTTTACATTAAATTTTAATTTTTACATTAAATTTTAATTTTTAAATGTAATAATCATAATTACAAAACACTCAATATATAAAAAATAAAAATCTAACTAATCTGAGTATTTTGCGATCTAAATTACAAAACTAATTACCCAAATAAAATTATACTGACCAGTTTTTGCAAAGCATGCTCTCATTCTGGTGCCTCCTTGGCCAGCCTATGCCTATGGATAGATATGTTTGAAAAGTCGTCCCTTTTAAAAATCCCCCCTAGTTTCTAATAAGTTCTGTAAAAAACTTCGTTTAATTTTCCAGTCTCCTAAGAAAAAGCTCATTTCTCACTTTCAATCCCGTTTCCAGGTAACAGAATTTTCTCTTTGCACCGTTTGGGGACATACCAAATGGGTTTGCATTATTACTTCGGATTTGTTAACAGTTACACTTCTAGTCTCTTTTTTTTCTCAATCTTAATTTTTTTTTTTGCTACAGATCTAATTTTAGTTTTGGGCCGGAGATTTTCTTTATTTTGTTGGTGCATACTAGGTTCTGCTGTTTGTTACTTAAGGCTTGTAATGTGAAGTTCTTCTGGCGGATTCTCTGTTGGGTGAAAGTTTTTTCTGGGATTGAAGTGAAGTGTTGAAATGGTTTTGTTTAATTTCTGTATGTGTTAAAGTTGGATTTGGCATCTTTTTTTGGTTTAATATTACTCGAGATAATGTTGTTCTCCCTTTGTTCTTAATGGGTGTAAGAGTTTATTCTGGGCTTAGAGTTTAACATTGGAAATGAGTTTGGTTTAATTCTTGCTTTTGAGTTAAGAGTTTGATTTGGCAGCCTTTTTTTGTTAATTTTACTGGAGGTATTGTTAGTGTTCTTTTCTTGGAGTTTTCAAATTTTTTCTTTGGTAGTGCAGGGAAGGAAAAATCCATTGAATAGGCTGGTGATGGGGGTTTATACTTGAAATATTTTATTGTGCTGTGTCAGCTTGTTTTGATGGAACGAACTTTAGGCCAAGACTCCACTTCTACTTCTGGGTCGGTGGATAAGTCCAGGATTCTATACATAAAGCCCCTGCGATGCCTTATTTCGGTATTCCCTTCATCAGCTAATTTTGTTGCCCCATTTGTTTACATCCCTCCATCAGGTCCTTTCTCTTCTGTGTTTGCACCATTTTACCCATTTCCTGGTTCTTCAGATTCAGAAAATATCCAGACCCCATTTTCTGTGCCAAATCAACAATTTGGCTTTGCAAGCCCAATCTCTACTGCCGTCCCAATAAATTCATATAGAACTGCATATGGAGATGCAAGGGCATCTGGAAGGAAATCTAGAGGCTGTGCTCAATCCCAATCTCATAGTGGGATTGCTGAAGAAGATGGGTTCAGTGATGACCATGATCAGGGCACTCAATATTCTAGCAGGGGGAGGAAGATAAAGATGAGGGCTAAAGGAGGACACAGTGTGGCCAGGATATCAATTGTGCTTCACCTGATGTGGACACAGATTCTATAGTTAGTAATATTCTTGAATCATTCCAACACGTGAAATTTGAAACATCCCAATCTAATGGTGACAGGGAAACAGTGGAGAACTTACTCTTGATAAATAATTTGTTTCGAAGAAAAATTTCACAGATTGAAGATTCCAAAGAAGCAACACCTGGGGTAACCAAAAGACCTGACTTAAGATCAGCAGCAATCTTAACGAACAAAGGGATTTGTACAAATGCCAGGAAGAGAGCTGGTGCTGTACCTGGAGTTGAAATTGGGGATATTTTCTATTTTAGGATGGAAATGTGCTTGATTGGATTGCATGCACCAACTATGGCTGGGATTGATTGCATGGTTCTGAAGATGGCTCAAAATGAAGAGCCAGTTGCAGTTAGCATTGTCTCATCTGGAGGATATGTGGATAATGTGGAGGATGGGGATGTCTTGATTTACAGTAGCCAAGGTGGGAATCTTAACATGAGAGGTAAGGAAGCAACTGATCAGAAAGGGAAATCTTGCTTTGGAGAAGAGCTTGCATTGAGATAATGAGGTCTGAGTAATTCGTGAGGTAAAGGATCCAGCATCTCTAACAGGAAAGACATATGTCTATGATGGTCTTTATAAAGTCCGAGAGTCATGGGTGGACAAAACGAAGGCTGGTTGCAATGTTTTTAAGTTTAAATTGGTCAGGGTTCCTGGGCAGCCTGAAGCATTTTCACTGTGGAAATCTATTCAGCAATGGTAGGATGGCATCACTACTAGGGCTGGTATTATATTGCCAGATCTTACTTCAGGAGCAGAAAGTTTGCCTGTTTCTCTTGTAAATGATGTTGATGATGAGAAGGGATCTGCACATTTCACATATTCTCCTATTCTCAAGTTTGCAAAACCAGTGAGTTCAGTAGAGCCTTCAGCTGGCTGCACTTGCCATAATGGATGTCATCCTGGTAACATCAACTGTCCATGCATTGAAAAAAATGGAGGCTATCTTCCATACACTTTGAACGGAGTTCTTGTGAACCAAAAACCTCTAGTACTTGAGTGTGGTCCTTCCTGCCAGTGCCCTCTTAGTTGCCCGAACTGAGTGTCTCAAGGTGGTCTAAAAGTTCGTTTGGAGGTGTTTAAGTCTAAAGATAAAGGTTGGGGTCTGAGGTCCTGGGATCCTATCGATGCTGGAGATTATATCTGTGAATATGCTGGGGAAGCTGTTGATACTCCCAGGGCAAAGGAACTTGGAGATGAAAACAACAATTGCTACATATTCTATTCAACCCACACTTATCATTCAGTGGGAGTTCTGCCTGGTGAATCAAATGAGGCTTCCAAAATCCCATTTCCACTGATTATAAGTGCAAAAGTTATTGGTAATGTAGCACGGTTTATGAACCATGGTTGCAGCCCAAATGTACTCTGGCAGGCAGTTCTGAGGGCAAATAACAGGGAGTCTGATATTCATATCATGTTTTTTGCAATCAAGAACATTCCTCCTATGACAGAGTTGACATATGACTATGGAATGGTCCCACCAGATAAGGTAGAACAGGGGAAGAAAAGGTGCCTTTGTGGCTCACTGAAGTGCAGAGGTTACTTTTACTAGAGGTTGATCGACAGCCAAATTCAGATGAAGATTGCCCTTCCTACGTCATGTTCTAGCGAAAGGTTCATTAGCTACAGTTCTGTGTTACGATGTCTTCTATTGTATATCTTACTTTCCCTGTATTCCTTATTGTTTTCAAATTTCATGAACTAGCAAACGACTGGAATTTAACAGACCATCATTGTTTGTAAAATCATAGAGGACAAACTGGTGGAGAAAATAGTTCATTTCTGAATGAACCCTATAATAGAATTAGTCATAGCTTGAGAAATTAGATATTCTGATAGTCACTTAAATTTTAATAAATTGTTAGAGCTTGTAGCCATGTGCTAAAATTTCTTGGTGTTCTCTGTATATGTTTTTCTTCGTGTTCACTGTGTATGCTTCTAGAATGTTGAATATTGATTGAACTTATCTTCAATTTTTTTTTTTTTTTTTTTTTGGTATATCCAAGGGTTAGCTGCTTGGTATGACAAAGGTTTGGACCCCCAATTTTGACCTCAAATCAAGGTTTTTTAGGTAGTGGATAACAACTTGGCCAAGCTTCTGTTGGTGTTGATTTTGTCTTCATATTTGTGCCTTTTTTAATGTTAATATCTATCCCAATTCATTTTCAATTTAAGATCAGTTTGTCTCATCGTCCCTATAAAGTTCTACCAGAGGATCTACACGTGTTTTTTGTTTTTTATTTTTTCTTTGATGAACTACCGGCTGATCCATGTGCATGTTAAAAGGGTTCTATTAATGCTACTTGGCAACGCCTGACTTTAGCCTGTTTCATTTGAAACGAAAGTTATATTAATGCAGAAGAAGGAATCAAATCATGTCAATGTTTTGTTGAAAGGAATCAAATCATGTCAATGTTTTGTTGAACTTTCTGGGCTGAATAAACATAAAATCATGACTTAATCTTAGTGTTTTACCCTATATAATGTTGTCAATTTGTCTGAAGTCAGAGAAATCCAGGACACTAATTCTAGATTTTATCAACTCTTGATCTCGTCTTCTTGATCTTTTCTTATTGCTGTCTGCATTGCCTGTACAATTTAGTGCTTTCATTTGTAGATAGGTGATGGTTATTTTTTGATGTTTGCCTTGATAAGTAGATAACACTTTGGCAAATGCAATAGCTTACCGCTGTTCTCGGATTTACATGAATGCAGGAGGATCAAATTTTCCAGCCTTTGGCACTGCTGGACGGCTACTGAAGTTGTCCTTTGCAACATCCTGTGTTTCGTATTCAGTGGAGCTTTATGAAGAACTCACTAAATTGTTAACTTTTGGGGTCATATCCCAGCTGTAATTTACTTCAGACTTCTTCATTCTTCACTCTCCAGGCATTCTGTTATCTTTGCCTGACTTCAAGTCTTTTCCTTGGGATTAAAAGTACTGAAGTAGCAGTGTAGTCCCCTTTTGGGTATGGAGAGATGCAATAATCATATGGAACTAATTACAATTAACTTTGGTTTTTTGTAGGTATGAAATGCATCTCTTGAATAAACATGTACTCTTCGAAATTATGTTGGAGGTTGTGTTGAACCAGGTAGGACAAAAATTGGGCACCATGTAAGAACATGGATTCAAGCAGCTTCAACCTTAAGACACAATCAGTAGGCGCGAAATCTTGTTATTGTTTTAACAAATTTATTACCTGTATATTTTATAGCCATTAATTGAGAGGACTATCTCAATATCAGGAGCATGCCCTTCATTAATGATAACATCACTTTTCTTTTTATTACAATGATTCATTTACAACGGTACAACCATGAGCCAACAAAAACTACTGTCATCGTTCAAGGTAAAGTTTTGCCATTTGGATGTTCATAAGCTATTTTATTATCATTGAGGTGCAAATAAATTCAATAAATTACAATTGTTATCTTGAAGGTTTATTTAATGCTACTAGACAGAGCAGTTTATAAGGTTATACCAAAAAAAAAAAAATGTCGTGGTCTTATGTTGTCAATAAATTATTTTCTTTAATTTAATTACATAGCATATATCTATCATATGATATAATTGGGAGGTCAACCATGTGAAAATTGGATGAAGCAAAATCTAGGACAAAAATGGACAAGAAGAGCAGGGTGGGTTCAATTCAAACTCCAATAGAGCTAAAATTCAGTTGGTTGTGTTGTGGCGGCGGAAAACTCGCTCGAAATTGGAAATCTTTGAGGGCATACAGCAAAAGGTTTGTTAGAGAGTTTCTGATTTGTATAGGATTGATCTCTGTGAATATGGGGAATGCTGGTTCCTGCTCTAATATAGAAGGGAGAGGAATGTGAGAGAAGAAAAAAAAAAAAAGAAGGCAAGCACCCACAAAGCGTCTGATCTCTCGTGGTCATTCGCTTTCTCAATACCCAGAAAGAAGAAGAAAAGAAAAAAAAGAAAAGAAAAGGGAAATAGAATCAAGAATTGGAATGAAAAGTTTTGATCTTTTTTGATTTTGTCATGTGGGTGTTTGTTAATTTATAAAGCAGGTGAAATATGAGCAAGAAGAGCCAGGTTTATGACTCTTCTACCTTTCATGATATTGACCTTTCCCCTTCAGAACCCATCCCCAGGAGGATTTATCAAGTCTGGAAGGGCAACAATGTAAGGTTTTCTGGAATTTCCCTTTTCCTACATGGGGTTGTTTTCATTCTCTTCATGATGATTCAATTTTGGGAATGCCTTTTTGATATTGTATAGGAACTGCAATGCAGAAGTTCTTATAATTTGTCAAGGAAATTGATTAAAACACATTGTTGGGGAATAATTATGTTATATTTTTTTATCCTTCCATTGTTTCATATCATAACTTGCCTGGGACAATAGCCATGGGTCTGTCCGCTGAACCCGAGGTTTCCCGCGGTTTACCCTCCAAGCTCAAAATGGGTGATGAAGAGGGGTTTTTGCCATCATAAAGAGAAAGAAGACAAAGAAAATCCCGTTTTGTGAATAAGATTCCTTAGAAATATATTGTAGTATTGATCACAAGCAGGTTGAACTAATTTCAGGGGTTTTTGATCTTTTCCTTTCTGCTAACAGTTATGATTCTAGAAATTTATGGAGCTAGTTGCTGATATGAAATTCCCAACATATGAGAGATTTGCCTTTGTTGTCAGCCATGGACAATTGATAACTGTTCTCTTGCTTCCAATGTAGAAATTTGGTTGTGGTGGGAGAATGGTCTGTGGTCCCGATGCAGGTTCACTTTATTTAACTTTGTTTCTAATTGGATGTCCTGCAATAGCATTTTGCATAAAGATGATCATGATTTTCAAAGAAGAGAATCCACTTTTCGACTATCCAGTTTTGTTTGGGGGATTGTTCCTGACTATCTTGGTTGGTAAAACATAGCTAAATTTCCTGGTATAATTTGAGCTTGTTTCAGTAATCGATTTTATACATCACTTCTTCTTGATGCTCTTTGCAGGATTTTACATTTCTGTTTATGACATCTACGAGAGATCCAGGAATAATTCCTAGGAATTTGCAGCTCCCTGAAGATGAAGCACTACCCGGCCTCCCATCAATGGATTGGTCCAATAATAGAACTCCTTATTTGAAAATACCACGGATGAAGGATGTAATTGTCAATGGACACACAATTAAAGTTAAGTTTTGTGAAACTTGTTTGCTGTATCGTCCTCCACGAGCTTCACATTGCTCAATCTGCAACAACTGTGTACAGAGATTTGATCATCATTGTCCATGGGTGGGCCAGTGTATTGGACAAGTAAGTTATCTAAACCTACTGTCAAGCAAGCTTTGTTAACATTAACCTACTGTTGATAACAATTCTTCCAATATCCTTACATCTTTTACCTGTTTGCAGCGCAACTATGCATCCTTCATAGGTTTTATATCAACATCATCTCTGTTGTGCACGTATGTCTTTGCGTGCTCTTGGTTAAACCTTCTTCGTCGACCAGGCACTTTGTGGAGTGTTATGCGACGCGATATACTATCAGTCATACTAATAATATATTGCTTCATTGCCATCTGGTTTGTTGGTGGTCTTACAGTTTTCCATATGTACCTAATTTGCACCAACGAGGTATTCTTCTTACAGATGTTCAAAATTTTCATTGTTATGTATTTGTTAGCACCAGAACAACTTCTGTTCCACTGAACCTCCATCCTTGTCTTTGTACTTTCAGACGACTTATGAGAATTTCAGATACCGGTATGATAAGATGGAAAACCCCTTTAATAAAG